CAGCAGCCCAGCCAGCTGAAGGCTGAGCCTTTTAAATTAAATTTAAAAAAAAATATATATATAAAATTTGGAATTGTACATAGCATGTACCTCATGGGCCAAATAATTTGTAAAGTTATTTTTCAGTTTCTACATCTTTTACAAGAAGGAAGTTACTTTTTCTAATCTTCATGGAATTTAACAGAAGAGGACTTGCAGAATGAGTCAGGTCTGTTGTGTTTTCTTCTGCATAGCTACTGCAGTTTTTTTTCAGTTTTATTTAATTTTTTAAAACAAAAATCAGCTTCAGATTTTTTTTTCCCTCGTCCCTTTGAGTGAGTTTATGTAACATCTAAACAAAGTGCACCCTGAAGTCTTTGCTGCTTAGTGAGTTTTACACCCTTTAAACTGAAATTAGTGGGTTTTACACACTTTAAACTGAAATTAGTGAGTTTTATACACTTTAAATTGAAGTTCTTTGGACCTTAAAACACCCCTTATGTGTTTTGTAGTGAAAGATCAGCACAGGGTGCCCAGAGAAGCTGGGGCTCCCCATCCCTGGAAGTGTCCCAGGCCAGCTTGGAGCAACCTGGGATAGTGGAAAGTGTCCCTGCCCATGGAATTCCATGGAATTAGAAGACCTTTAAGGCCTTTTCCAACCCAAAGTGTTCAGTGATTCCATGATCAAAGCTGGAGGGAAAGACCAAGTGACTCATTAAAAATGCTGGCACTAAACAAACGCATCTTACACAATTGTTGATACAGCGCTGTGACCCTGCGTTGTTCGGCACCTGAATTCCTGCTCTGTGACTCTTCCTGCTCAAAACCACTCCAGAATTTAAATGGATGTGTATTTTCAGAGCCTCTTGGTTGCTGTTAAACACCTGGGGGGAGTGAGGTCTGCGCTGAAGTGTTCCTCTGCGTCAGAGCACAAACACGAGCCCTTTCCAGGACTGAATTCCAGAACTTGGGCTAGCATTCAGCTAAGCTGTTGAAATCATTAAATCTTCATACAGACATTGTACACTCATGGGAGAAAACCAAAAACCTGCCAAGCCCTGGGAGATCCTGCAAACATCTCTGCAGCTCTGAAATGAATCAGAGAGCCACAGGGAATGGCAGAATCAATTATGTTGGAAAAGACCTCTGAGATCATCAAGTCCAACCTGAGCTTGTGGTGACAGGACAGGGGAATGGCTCGAAGCTGGAAGAGGGGAAATTTAGGTTGGATATTAGGAAAAAACTCTTCCCCATGAAGGTGGGGAGGCCCTGGAACAGGGTGCCCAGAGAAACTGTGGCTACCCCATCCCTGGAATTCTCAGGGCTGGGTTGGACAGGGCTTGGAACAACCTGGGGTAGTGGAAGGTGTCCCTGCCCATGGAATGGGAGGAAAGAAATGAGGTTTAAGGTCCCTTCCAACCCAAACCAGTCTGGGATCCTTTGATTCAATCACAATTTGAAACTGGCAATTTCTACATCTCATGCTGTAGAGGAAAACATTGAACTTCTCAAACAGTTGGGGTATTTTACCCCAGTTCTTCAGACTCTGCTTTCCTCTCTTTTTCCCCTTTATCTTATGTTTGATTTCCTTTTCCATCCATATTCATATAAAAATAGAGACACAAAAATAGAAGCAAAGAGTGGAAGAAGCAAAATGACAAAACTCCAAGGAAATTAAAAATATAAAAACTGAAGGAATGAAAAAAAAATGCCAAATATTTATTGCACAGTTTTATATGAGAAAAGTAGCTTCAAAAGTTACTTCCAGTTCTGAATTGGTGCTTAATTCCAAAATGTGGGTCTCCCTCTGTCAGGTCTGGACAGACCCAAGGAATAAGTGGAATAAAAATAACCTAAAATGGCAAATCTTATTTTTGTTTGCCCATAAGTCTACCAACTTGCTCAGTTGTCATTGTGTATTACCTCACAAATGTGTCCTGCTTAAAGGCCTCAGTCCATAAATTACCCCTGGGAAATGGCCATAAATTATCAATCCACTCATTAAATAACCTTTTATTTATCTGGAACTGAATGACGAGGTGGCTGGATAGAGTAAAGGCTCACTCAGCAGCTGAGCCTGGCTTTTCTAGGCAGCTATTTTGGGTGCTCTGACTCACCTGGAGCTTCCTGTTTCACACTAGCTCTAAGAAGGGAATTAGGGAGCCTAAATTTAGAAGCCGTTGACATGAAGGGAAATGGAATGTCAGGATTGCAGGATATGGCAACTCAGGAAAAACTGACAGCTTCACTCCTGGTGTGCAGCATCCCTGAGTTCACCGGAGCAGCAGGCTCCTGCAATCCCAGGGAATGCCCAGCAGGGAGAAGGCTCTGCCCCCATAAAAATGTGCAGCTCTGGGGTCTCACAACCTCCTGCTCCTGGAAGCACCTGAATTTCTCCTTGAGCCTGAGTTTCAGACTGTTGTGCTGTCCTTGGGGCTCCACCCTTCTCCGTCCCACACTTCAAGCTCCTGGGATCAGCAGTGAAAAGAAAAAGTGGGAATTTAAACCATGGGGGGGTTCCATGTCTGGCTGCAGAATGTGCTCTTCTAAAACATTTTTTCCAACACCCTGTAACCTCACATTCCTTGAAACAGAGAAAATTAAAATCATTAAAAGCTGAGGCTGGAGGAGGTTTTGAGGTCACTGCCTGCAGCTCCTGCTGCCTCAGGTTTTCTTATCAGAATTCACATTTATTTCAGCCATTCTCCCTCCAGAACCTGCCTTTGCTCTGAGGTTTTCTCTTGCTGCTCACACCAAAAACAAGTTGTGTCACTTCCACTTTTTAAAAACCCGCTGTAAGGTCACAAGTATAAAAGTTTCTTATTTATTTTGCTTTTTAGATTGGTTATTTGTGTTGAGTACTCCCTTTCTTATGTTATCTTCAGGACTGGGTGCTTGAAAACAGTGGAGCTGCTTTGAATTTTTCTATCTAGCAACATTATGATTAATAATAATTATTATTTAAGAGCATGAGCAATTAGTCAAGGATTTTTCAGAGTGCTGCTTGCTCTCCCAAGGGATTTTTGTGGCTCAGAGCAGCGCAGAGTTCCTGCACAGAGGGTCAGAAGGGCCCTATTGATCCAGGGATCTTTAAATAGGGTCTGCTGTGCATTTTGGGGTTGCCAAGAGCCCCTGGCTGGCCCTTGGCACAGGAAGGGATTTCTCTCTAAGTGACTGTGGTGTTTTCTCCTCGTGCTGAACAAAAACTGAAACAAACCCAGAAGTGAATGTGAAAGTCCCTCTGTGAATAATGAACCGGTGTCAGATAAGCCACGGCCTAATTTTCAGAGCTGAGTTTTGAGGAGTTTGGATTCGGGCCAATTTCATGGGAGGTGTCATCGAGCCTTGTGAAATCTGATTGCTCTCGTGGTTTCAAAGTCTTCACGGCTCTGGCACAGCTCAGATCCAGCTCTGTGATCTCTGATATTAAACCTGATCAGATTTTGGGCTGCTGCCCCCGGGTGAGCTGGGATGGAAATGTGTTACATCAGCTTGACTGCTATTGAAACCCCTGCTAAAAATTTCTACAGCAATTAACAACAGACAGAATTAAGCCAATAATAGGCTTTTTTCACCCCTATCAACCAAGATTATGGATAAATCCCATAGATACCCCATGGCCAAGCAGATATCAGAGTGCAGCTTTATCAGTGATGGGGGAAGGCCCAAACCCCTTGGCAGAGCAGAGCTGTGGGATTGTTTCTGCTCCCTGTGTCTGGTGGAGTTTGCAATCACACACAGGCACAGAAAACCCCACATTTCCCCATCTGAGGACCAGAGGAGGAATTGGCACAATTTCTCCACTACTTTGATCCCTTAGGATTCTGGCTTTTATATTTTCCATCTATTTGCAGTCCTGCAGTTCTCCAGTGTGTAACTCCAAACTCCACACACACTGGGAGCTGCTGCTCCCCCACTTTGGGCAGACACAGCAATTCCTCTCCAGACCTGGCAACCAAGGACACCTCAGTGCCTCAGGCCCCAGAGATGGAAACAAAAGGGAGTTGGGGGCAGCAAACTTGGGGGAAATGACTTCATTCCCTGCAGCTGGAATTGGGGGATGAACCCCAATGTGCAAATGGACCAAACTTATAAAAGTGTGAAAACTGTGAGTTGTGGCCCATTTTTGGGCCCTGGGGGGCTTTGACTGCTCAAAATGTCCCTGAAGGCCCCTCAATAAATAGATCTGCTCTTTATTCCCTGAGCTGCTGGGTACACACATCCTTGTGGGAAGGAACAGCCTCGATATTTTTTTTAAATACAGGTTTGTTGTCAAAATGACCTGCTTTAAAAAACTTAGGGGGAATAAAAAATAAAAGAAGGAAAAGGGATGAAAGAATGAAGTGAATTGGAGTCTGCCTGGCTCAGGGTCTTGCTTCAGTGAAAGGTATTTAATATTTTTGTATCTGGTGGGGAAATTGTCCACTATTAATGGGCTTTCTTTCTGGCTATAATTTATTCTTATTTCTCAGAGGCAATGGGGTAGAGGCCAGGTTTCTTTATCCAGAGGTATTAAAATGCCTGGGGCTGAGCAGCTTAGCATTGCTTTGTCAGGATTTTCTCCATCTGGCAAAATAATAGAATAAAATCACCCTGTGCAGGGAGAGCTGCTTTATTTTTAAAAGAATGCCCTTTCTCCTTGAATTCAAAGCCTCGAGGGAGAGGAGGAGTGGTGGGATCTGTGAGGAGATGAATATTTTCATTCACTGACTGCTTCTATGTTCAGGAGCTGTGATCCCTCACTGCCAGGCTTGCTTTAACATCTCTGGAAACTGGTTGTGTGTATCAAAGTGGAGGCAAATAGAAATTAAAATCCCTTTTCAGAGATGTGAGGGTTTTATAGGGCCCAGAGGGGTGAAAAGATCCCAGAGGAAGTTCCAAAGTCATAGGCAGGGTCAGCTGACTCTTATAAAAATAAATTCCTCTTTGCTAAGGAAAAAAGAAAGAAGAGAAAACTAAATCCATGCTTTTTCATTTTTTTTTCTTTTTGATTTAGTTTTCTTTTATTTTTTCCCCCTGAGTCATTGACAGCAAAAGGAATTTTTGTTTGCATCAATGTTCATCAAAACAGAAAGTGGGTATCTCTAGAAGTGAATCATATCAATTGTTCCTGACCTTTGGGAAGTGTCTGGTGTCATTTGAAGTCACCTGGTGGACGAGACAAAACCTCATTGATATGCACCATCAGTTTCTGGTGATGTAAAACAAGAAACAAATTGCTGCTCTGAGGAATATTTGGAGTGTGCTCACACCAACTGAGCTACATCAGTCAGCAGCAGGCACTGAGCTTGGATGAGATAAACCACCAGGTTTCTGGAGCCAGAAACTCAATCTATGACTAAATGTTTGCTGTGGAGAGTTTGCCAAGCTCCAGTCATAGAAAAATGTCAGTTGTGCAAGGGGAAAAACTCCAATAATGGTGAGAAAAGGCCTCCCTGGGATCCCAGAGATGAGGGAAAAAGGGGAAGGGCTAAACTGGCACCAACTTTGGCAACATCTTGGTCCCTTCCCTCCCCACACTGTAAGAATGAAATTGCAAATAAATGTTTGGGTTACTGCAATTCATGGAATAAGAGGATTTGAGATTGTTCTTCTATTCTGCATTCTCTGAACATTTCAGGCAGCCAAAGAAGCTCAAATGCCACCCATTCTCTGGCCTGCTCAAACATCTCAGCTCTCTGCTGAGGGCCAGTCTGAAACCGTCTTTGGGAAAGTCTGGATCAAAGTCTGGGCTTTGGGGAAGTCTGGAGCCCTGGTCTTCCAGGAAGTGTTGGTGTTGGAAGAGGATTCCCAGCCCGGTGTGGTCTGTGTCACACTGGGACTGCCAGACTGGCAGGGTGGCACTCGAGGAAATGAACTTTGCTATTTGCCAAATCAGCAACTCCATTGCTATTTTAATATTTAATGTGGAAAGGCCTGAGAACCCCAGGGGAGAACAGAGGCTGAACACTCTGCTTAGACAAAGTCTCTGTCCCAGAGAGATTTATATTTAAATAGGAAAGATGGATAAATAGTGACAAGGAAGACACCTGAAGGAAATGGCATAAGGTCCATAGCAGAATGCAGCACAGAAATATCCTGTAAATCCCATATCTCCTATGTCCTGCCCCAAAGTTTAGCTACCAGCCTGAGAGTCAATAATTTCATCATTTTTGCTGTTGTACCATGAATCTATTCCAGAGTTGTCACCGTGTGCCTGTGGTAAAGAAGGGCCTTGACTACAAGCTTTGACTGTTGGGTTTTTGGAAAGACCAGGTTAAATCACTACTCCATAAAATAGAGTTAAACAGATTTCCCCATGTCCAGAGCACAGGTGCTGTGCCAGCAGTTTATGACCCTAAAAATCTCCGTATTGTGGAGTCTTCCCATGATCTGCCTGAGGTTTAATCTGTGTTTGCACAGATTATTTCGAGGATCCCTCGGTGGGTCTGTGGGTTGTGTGCTGGAGAGTCCAACCATCCCACCCGAAGCCAAGCCAGGGAAGCTGGCAGGCTTAGCTCTTGCAGTGTTTTATTTCTGGGACACTCACAAAGTTCCTTGTTCACCCTAGGGATGAGGTGAGGTGGGAAATTTAAACCAGGCTGGTGGTTTAAAGCAGGCTGCTGGTGTTCAGAGAAAAAGTCTGGCTGGCAGTGGGAGCTCAGGGAGCTGCCATTCCATCCCTGTACCTCAAGACCCCAAGAACGTTTTCGTTGGGAAGGGAAACGTCATTCAGGAATTCGGGATGGTTCAGTGTTACTGATATTCGGTCCTCCACTTTCAGATCTGTCAAGTGGAGCTGGAGCAAGGTCTTAAAAGTCTTGTCTTGGCACGTTTCTGACGTGCACAGTGTGGACAACGTCTGCCTGTCCACCCTGCCGTTCACCAGGAGCTCGATCTTGAGGTCGATGGGGCTCTTGGAGCAGTTGGGGAAGTGAAAGTTCAAGTGGCAGAAGATCAGGTAGAGGCCTTGTTCCGTGATCACCAGCTCCTGGCCGTTACACTGGATGTTCTCACAGATCCCCTTCTCCACCAGGCTCAGCTTGGAGCTGTTCACTGTGCTGGACACTGGAAGGAAAGCAAAGGGCTGTCAGCTCCCAGCTCCACTGACCTCTCTTCAGCCCTAGGACACTTCCAGCAGGGTTTCCTGCTAAAAGGACACACCTGCTCAGTGGTTTCCTGCAGGAAACTCCAGGAAAACTCCTGGAAACACAGCTGGGAGCTCACACATGGATGTGAGACACTAAGAATTCCAAGGATTTACCCAGGACAGAGAAAGGCGTGAATGTTCATCTCCGTTATTTTCCCACTTGGCATTTGAAGGGAATCCAGAGAGATGTGCATTCATGTACTTTCCATATTCATGGAGATTGTACAATTCACGGAAATGTACATTCCTCTCTGTGTGTGCAGAAGACAAATCTTTATTTCCTTTTATTTTTATCAAGTTAAAAAAAGGGTTTCTAGGATCAGATAGGGCTTTGCCAGCCACATTCCAGGAGAGCTAAGGAATTTTTTTCCTATAAAATGTCCATTTGGACAAGAAACATTATTTGCCACTAAACCCATTGTGAATGACATGGGCAGATTTTCAGACAAGCTCTGAAATTTCCCTTTCCCAACCCTTTTCCCCCACCCTGGACTCCCCACTGACCTCTCATGTAGGCAGCAGCTCCCTTGCCTGGGACACTCTGTAGGATCCTCAAATAGTCTTCAAAGGTGTTCCCTGAAGAAAACAACAGATTCACTCATTGCTCCTGAGCTTTTTATTTTTTTTTTTTTTTTTTTTTTTTTTTTTTTAATTGTAAAATGCAGTCAGCACTTAGTCCCACATTTCCAGCATGGTTCTTACTCCTTGGCTAAGGAATTCTGACCTGCCATGGGAATTCAGAACAGTGTCACTCAGCTGGTAAATCTATAACAACCTAAAGCTCCAGCAGATTGCAGCTCTCAGCCGTGAAATTCCTTACCCTGTTCCTTAAAAATAGGAGTGATGGTTTTAAATTTAAGGAGGGTGTGTTTGGAATAGATACAAGGAGAAATTACAGTGAGGGTGGGGAGGCTCTGGTGCCCAGAGCAGCTGGGGCTGCCCCTGGATCCCTGGCAGTGCCCAAGGCCAGGCTGGACAGGGCTGGAGCAGCCTGGGATGGTGGGAGGTGTCCCTGCCATGGCAGGGGTGGAACGAGATGAGTTTTAAGGTTCTTTCCAACCCAAACCAGCCCGGGTTTCTCTGATTCTATGAAACAGAAATCATGTGCAGGTAAGCTTAATTTAACCGAGTTATTTTTGTGGTGCAACTACAGAAAGCATTTAAACATTTAATCGGGGCATAGTCCTGAAAATGGCTCTTTGGGTGCTTTTGGAATGTTGCTTCATGATCCCTCGGGAATGCTCCATCCCTCGGGATGCAGGAACTGCTCCATCCCTCGGGAATGCTCCATCCCTCGGGATGCAGGAACTGCTCCATCCCCCGGGAACTGCTCCATCCCTCGGGAACTGCTCCATCCCCCGGGAACTGCTCCATCCCTCGGGAACTGCTCCATCCCCCGGGAACTGCTCCATCCCTCGGGATGCAGGAACTGCTCCATCCCCCGGGAACTGCTCCATCCCTCGGGAACTGCTCCATCCCCCGGGAACTGCTCCATCCCTCGGGATGCAGGAACTGCTCCATCCCTCGGGAACTGCTCCATCCCCCGGGAACTGCTCCATCCCACACAACGCGGGACCTGTTCCCTCCCACGGGATGGGAGATTGTTCCATCCACGGCCACGGGAATTGTTCCATCCACGGCCACGGGAACTGTTCCATCCACGGCCGCGGGGACGGCTCCATCCCACGGCCGTGCCCGGCACTGCAGCGGCCGCAGCGAACCGAGGAGCCGAGTCCCGTTCCCTGCATCCCTGCCCTGCATCCCTGTGTGTGGTCCAGTTCCTGCATCTCAGACCCTGCTCCCCCCTTGCATTTCCGTCCATATTCCTGCCTTCCATCTCCTCTCTGTACGTTTTTCCTCCTCTCACCATAGTGGATGTTCAGTTAATGGCACTGATCATCCATTCCTGGCAGTGCCCAAGGCCAGGCTGGATGGGCTTGGAGCAGCCTGGGATGGTGGAAGGAGTCCCTGCACATGGCAGGGGGATGGAATGAGATGAGATTTAAGGTCCTTTCCAACCCAAACCATTCTAGGATTCAGTCAATGGTTCTGTGATTATTCTGTCTCTATTCTGTGTGACACAGAATTGTCCCCTCGGTCCATGGGTGGATGGACACACGGGCAAGGGATGGATTCAGGAAAACAGTGCATATCCCAGTGCTCCAACCTGACAGGAGAATGGTTATTTCTCCTTGCATTTGCTCTCTTTTCTGTCTCCCAGCCCTGCTGTGGCTGTGGGAGTGCACAGGAGCTCAGATGGCAAATTGGGAATTTTCTGTGTTTCATTCCACAGCTGAACACCGAGAATAAAGCAGGAAGGAGTTTGAGTAAAGCCTTAGCAAATTATTCTCTCTCTCCCAGGGTACACAAAACTCCAAAGTTTTTCTGTGACTCAGTTTATTAAACTGATATCACAATCCCCAGCCCTACAAGGGACTCTGAAGGACGAGTTAATGCACAAAATTAAATCCTACTGAAACTCGACATCAGATGTTGTGTGTCAAGATCCTCACGTGTCCCACTCTGCTCTGTGCTGCTGTGGCCTCGCCTCAGGTCCAGGAGGAAGTTTTGAGAGTCACAATAAAGGAAGATCTAAAGGTGGGAGAGTGTCCAAAGGATGGGGAAGGGTCTGGAGGGGCCCATGAGGAGCAGCTGAGGGCACTGGGATTGTTCAGCTGGAGCAGACTGAGGGCAGAGCTCCCCGGGGGCTGCAGCTCCTCCCGAGGGGCAGCTCCGCTCTCTGCTCTGGGACAAGGACAGCAGCCAGGGAACGGCTGGAGCTGGGCCAGGGCCTCAGGGTATTTTGTGATTCCTTGATTCCAAACAAAACTCTATTTATATGCAGAGTGGGATAAGGATCTTAAGTTTCACAGGATTCCTGAAACGGGGCTAATGATAAGAGATCAAATCTCCAGACCCTTGCTGTATCTGCATGACCTGATTTCTAAGGGAGTTTTGATAATGAGGATGGAAAAATCAGGGAGAAGCTGTTGCCACACCCAAGTTCTCCTGGCTGGAGGGGGTTGGTGAGGTGTGTATTGCTCCCTGTTGGAGACAGCAACTGTGGATATCTCGAAAAAAAATGCGACATTTCTCTGATTTCAGTAGTTTAAAGACTTTTGTGGTGAGCAGGAGCTCACTGCTCTCCAAGAATGAGTAAGTCATGTACCAAAGTCCCTTCACCATTCTGGAAATCCCCAAAGAAAAACCAAAGACTGCTTTCCCTGTGTTAATCATGTCAATCTAGTGTTTTGGTGAGGGCACAGGCACTGCAGAGATGTGGAGATGTGGCACAGGGTGGGTGAAAGCCCTCCTGGCCCTTACTTCACCTAAAGCTCTGGTGGTGATAACAAGGTAACACAATCAACACCCTGAGCCCACTCACACTCAAATTCTGTGAGTTTTCTATAGAAACTCAGTGCATTTAGGGGGTTTACCCTCCAAAGGCTGAAAATCCCCTGCTGCACAAGCAGCCTTTGGAGGCTGCAGCCCTTCAAGCTCAAGGCAAGCCCTGAACCTACCCAGAAACTGCCCAGAGCTGCTCAGGGTGTCCTTGGCATCTCTAAAGATCTGCCCCCACTGACCCACCTGCACTTTGCATTTCCAGAGCTGTATTTAAGGTTTATGGGTGTCAGCAAGTTTGGTGTGCCTGTGTTTAAATTCGGTGACATCAGCTGCATTAGTCAGAAGGGAAATTATGGAGAAAAAAATTGTTTTAGAGAGACAGGTTTGGTCCTCACTCTGCTGAGGCAGCTTGTTACTGTTTTCTACTTTTATTTTTCAAGTGAATTCTTTTCTCTGAAACATTTCAGCTCAAAGACAAGAGAGGCTGAAATTACCAGGGCTTCAGGACTGATCGATGGATGTGCTCACATGGCCTAATGGGCTTTGCACGAGTCATGGTGTAAATCAGAGGTAATCCCTCTGCAATCAATGGGATTAGATGAGTTTAAAAACGCTGTGAGGAGGAGGAAAGACAAAGTTACATTTGGGGCTAAGCACCAAGGAGGCCATACGAGTTTCAGTGTGTGCTGTGAGACACAGGCACTGCAGATCTGCTTCAAGGAAAGCTGTTGGGAGGGAGGGGTCTCAGGGGGAGTCCCCAAAGAAGATATCAGATCACTTATTTTTGTCTTTTTGAATCAATTTACCACCTTGGACACGTCCAGGGATGGGCACTCTGAACCTCCCTGGGCAGTTCCAAGGCCTGGACACCCTTTCCATGAAGAAATTCCTGCTGCTGTCCCCCCTGAGCCTCCCCTGGCCCAGCCTGAGGCCGTTCCCTCTCCTCCTGTCCCTGTTCCCTGGGGCTGTCCCCTCCTGCCAGGGACTTGTGCAGAGCCAGAAATTCCCCCTGAGCCTCCTTTTCTCCAGGCTGAGCCCCTTCCCAGCTCCCTCAGGAATTCTCCAGCCCCTTCCCAGCTCCCTCAGGAATTCTCCAGCCCCTTCCCAGCTCCCTCAGGAATTCTCCATTCCCTTCCCAGCTCCCTCAGGAATTCTCCAGCCCCTTCCCAGCCCCCTCATCATGTTGGGATCAGATTTAATTGCAGAAGGCCAAACTGCCCCCTGAGATTTTGCTGCAAATCTGAAAAGGCTCCTTAGCTTCAGCCTGATTTTCTCCACAGTAGCAGGTTGGTGACTGTCACCTGTATGATATTAATTTCTCAGAGCCAGGTTTTTATTTGTGAACCTATATATTGAAACTGAGAGCTGGGTGCTGGATTTCTTTTCCTGGTCTGTGCAGTGCCAGAGCAAAATACCTATAAATAGTGTGTGTGTGTGTTCATTTGTATCTGCAGGTTTTTCTGTTTTTTCCCTCTTGTAAATGAGATTTTGATTCCAAATCTTTGCAGCTCAAATAACAAGAAAGCCATCAGCCCAGGATTACACAATTCCTAGGGAAATGAGGCTCGGAGAGACCAGCAAGCAGATGATGAGGGCTGTACCTTTCCAGATCATCAATTTGTCTGTGAGTTCATTTTCCCTCTAAAAAATGAACATAACAATACCCCTCAGATCCACACTAATACATGACTTGTTATTTGTGAAATGGGCATGAGTTTCTGCAGAGAAATGCTTTCACAGAAAGAACATTTCACAAACTCTTAGTTGGTGATGGATTTAATTCCTTCCCTGTTGCTCAGGTCCTGCACTGACAGTGGCATGGAGGATTTGAGGAGACTGATCCCATTTTTCACACAAACATTTAATGAGCTGACATTGCATCACCCTCAGCCTGTGCCTGTGGATTCCTGCAACCCATCCATTGGGGCCTGACAGCTGAGTCAGGGCTGGAAACGTCCCATAAATCTGCTTTAGTGCCCACTGGTGTTTAGCTAACATTAGAACAGAATCTCACTGGAGATTTAAATTAAATCATTGTGTTTCGCTGCTTTAATAAGGCACAATTAATTCAGTGTTGTGGCCGGGTCTGGGTTGTTGCCCTTGGCATCTCAGTGAAAGCTGAGACCTCAGCTGGACCCAGCAGAGAATTGTTGTGTCACAGGATCATGGAATGGTTTGGATTGGCAGGGACCTTAAAACTCATCCAGGGGCAGGGACACCTTCCACTGTCCCAGGTTGCTCCAAGCCCTGTCCAGCCTGGCCTTGTGCACCCCCAGAGCATCCCAGAGCCAGGCTGAGCACCCTGCTGCCAGCTGGGCAATGCTGGTTTTCCCTTCCCTTGCCCATTTTAACAACACAGGAGCCCTGGCTCATGGTACAAACCACACCCAATTTCCACCTGGGCTCCCTGGCAGACAAAAATGGATCCAAATCTAACTCCACACCAGCCTCTTCCTGAATGTTTCTCCTGTTCCTGTCTCTGGGTGGGACCTGGAGTTGCCACAAGTCCCTGCTTGGTTGCCAGCAGCTGGCAGAGCTCTCTGATAGGGGCCCTCAGTAAATTACCCACTGGGTATATTAATTAATGAGCTCTGGCCTGGCCCAGCTCCAGCCGTTCCCTGGGTCTGTCCCTGTCCCAGAGCAGAGAGCGGAGCTGCCCCTCGGGAGGAGCTGCAGCCCCCGGGGAGCTCTGCCCTCAGTCTGCTCCAGCTGAACAATCCCAGTGCCCTCCCATCTCCCATCCTGCTCTAGATGAGCACGGGGCTCCAATTCCCCACTGTGGTGGGAGTTACTGGCACCTCCTGCCCTCTGGGATGGGGCAGGAACTTGCATTTGCAAGGAGTGGAATTTTGGTGCTGGGAGCCGTGTGAGGCAGTGCCAGTGACGTGACCGATGCTCCTGAGTTACGCTGTCCCCTCAAATCAGGAGTTCTTTTGGGATATGTGGAACACATTTTCACCCTTCCTCGTAAAGAGGAGGACTTTACACGCATTTGCAAGAGCCAGCACTTAAAACAAGACCTTAAAATCAAAGTGATGTTCACATCTCCTGGCAAAAAGCTCTTTTGAACAGACACCCCAGGGCACATTCTGAAATATTTGTTATTTTTTCAGCCATGCACTGGATCGTGGATGTACTGAGTAATTTGAAAGCCTTTTTCTTATTTTCTTTTTTTTTTCCCCCACTACTTTGGCTCTTCACCAAGAGGAGCTTTTATTGGAAATGTTAGGATGTGCACAATTGGCTTATTTGTGACCCTGGGCAATATTTGTATTACAGATATAACAAATTGCCTGTATTGTTTAGAGGTCTTACCTGTCCTGATGGGTTTTTTGATGCCCTCCATGGCAGGATCAGCTACCTAAAAGAGAAAAAAGAGAAGAGTTGGATTATTCTGGGAATAGGAAACACCCATTTTGTGTGCAACTGTGGATCTGAAACATTTCTGGTTTTTTCTAACACAGAAAACAGACGTTTCTGACACAGTAAGAAAATGATGTGGGTTCTGTTCTGAAGCACAAGTTGTAAAAGTCTCTCTCTGTGGCTTGCAAGGCTTGGAGAGAGTAAGACAGAGTGGGACTGGACAACCTGGAGAGCCAAGTGCTTGGGAAAGATCACTGAAGCTGTAGAGCCCCAAAAAGGTCTGAGCACGACAGTGATGTCCTGCCTCACATCTCCTACTTCTTCTGAAATAAAACCAAGGGTGAAAATGGCACAAAACTGCCCTCAAGCAGCATGATGTGAGAAATCCCAGCTCCAGGGGTGAAATGCAGCAGGACTCCTCTGGTGACACCTTTCTGTCACCCAAACACCCCAGAGTCCCTGGAAGCTCATAAATGTCCCTCAAGGAGCAAAGTGTTCTTCCAGCAGCTGAGGAGAGCACTGGGAGCTCCCTTCAGTCTCACTCTGGGTGATCCCACAGGGATTTCAGGGACTGGGTTTTGCTCAGGCTGGGCTGAACCAGCTCCTCTTCCATGGGTGCAATTCAGCTGGGCTAATTGTGCAGGCTAATCAGGTGCTGGGCAGCAGGAGAGCAGGGACCCAGAGATGTTATTTGAAAAAATATAGATATTTCCAAGCTTTTTGTCCCTGACACAACATCCTCCCTTGGGAACTCTCATGGATCTCATCACAGATCACCAAATGTTAAACTGAGCAGGGTTGGAACTGAAAATACCCCCAGGAATCTCTGCCAGGACCTCTCAGCTCCTTCCTTTGCCCTGCCCTGGGCTGCTGTCTCTCACACACTCAGGAAAATGTCGCTGTTCACAGAAATATCTGAAAATTCCTGCTCTCTGTGGAGAATTCAGGACATTTTAGGTGACAGAAAAAGGATGCTCTGCCCCCAGTGAGATTGCACTCAATGAAACCAGGCAGCCAGGGAGGTGTTTGCCTTGCTGGGGGCTCAGAGCCTGCTCTGCACTCAGAGCATAAAAACAAAATTAAAATGGACTAAAGGCATTGTGTTCTCACCTGGGAAGGATCCCAGCAAGAAAAACCAGCACACACCAACGCAATTTATTTTAGTGACAATTGAGTAGATACTGAAATAAACCTTTAGGACTTCCTTTGAAATATTACTGGTATTATTTCTTTCTTTTCCAGCAGCAAGAATATCTCATGTAATGCTGTCATTTGGAATGCAAAGAGGCACACAGGAGGAGCCCAAAGAGATTAAATTCTACAGTGCCAGCCCAGAAAAAATTCAAGACAACAAATTCCACCCTGTCTGGAGTGATCTGAGGGCTGGTGATGAAGGAGCTCAGTCTTTACGCAGCAAGCAGAACAATTTGAGTTTGCTGTATTAGAGAAAATTATAATCAGGTGCCAGTGAAAGTGATTTATTTCTTAATTCTCTTAGTCATTTTACAATCCCTGGAAGTGCCCAAGGCCAGGCTGGATGGGGTTTGGAGCAGTCTGGGATAGTGGGAGGGGACCTAGCCCATGGCAGGGGTGGCACTGGATGAGTTTTAAGGTCCCTCCCACCCCAAACCAGTCTGGGATTCTGTGAAATCTTTATCTGCCTCTAGAAAAGGAAATTCCCCCAAACCACAGTCCCCATAAGGGGCTCAGGGTAACTGGGCCAGGGCCCTCTCTCTAAGAGCATCTCCACATGGCAGCTCATGGGGAAGAGCTCTTTGGTCCCCTGCCCTCAAAGGAAATTCTTCAATCAAAACAAAGCCCCAGGGCTCTCCTGGGTTTCTTCTCAGCCTCAAAGCACTGTGATTTCAGCAGGAATTTCCTCATGGAAAGTGTGATCAGGCCTTGGAAGTGCCCAGGGAGGTTCAGAGTGCCCATCCCTGGAGGTGCCCAAGGAAGGCCAAGGTGGCACTCAGAGCTCTGGGCTGGGGACAAGGTGGGGACCAGGCACAGGCTGGATCTGATGATCTTGGAGGTCTTTTCCAACCTCAGTGATCCTGGGATTTATTCTGTGCCCCAGCTCTGGCTGGGGAAGGAGGTGGGGGCAGCTCCTCCTGAGGCACCAAGGGGTGAAGGCCGAAGCTGGACATGAAAAGTGCAGAGAGCAGAGCACTGTCCCCACGGCTCACAGGATAATGAACCTCACAGGAATCACAGCCCAGGGTGAAAATCGGTTTTTTCCTGTGCTGACCAAAGCTGTTGAAGTGGTTAAAGTCACTTCCAGCCAGCAGGTGACTGTCACTGCACAGAACAGCCACAGCAAGAGCTGGGCCAGGGCAGTTTTCTCCTGAAAAGCCTCAGAGGATTTCTTGCAGTGCTCAGCGAGTGGGAAATCTGATTTTAGAGGAATTTTCAGTATTTGAATTTATTTTTATTTTTTAAATTTTGTTTTATTTCCCTGTCTGTCAGCGTTGCCACAAGAGGGGGCCAGCAGGCCCCGAGTGGGCCCTTGGGGCTGAAATGAGTTTTAAGGAGAAATAAAACCTGGATAAATAGTGCAGGATCCTGCTGGGTGCTCTATGAGTCATTCACAAACCTACTGCTAAAGGTTCTTAACAACCTTGAAGAGCAACTCAGCAAACAGAAAAACCTGCTCTGACCTTTAGTATTCGCCACACTGGTGAAAAAAAAAGGTTTTCCTACACAATTTAGAGGTTCAGTATATGAAGTCTACAAAATCCAGAGCAGTGATGGACTAACCCAGATCATGGACTCTGGACATTCACACAGAATTTGTTCATGGGAGGCCCAGGTGTGTGATGAAGCTTCCTGTACAGCACCAGACTTGTGAGGGTCTGTGTGACTTAAAATGACATTTCCAGCCCTTCGTGTCCCATTCTCTGCCCCTGGCTTCACATCTCTCTCTCAGTACTCACAGATATCTCCAGAGGTGTGTGTATACACATATATCCAGCAGGGAATGCAGCAGGCAGAAGGGTGGAGGGTTTAACACTCTTCTAAACAGTGGTAAGAAGAAAAATGGTGGCTCCAGACCACCTTACAGAGACTATTCCCATTCCAGAGGAAAATTGAGTCGCTTGTGAAAGATCAACAATGGCCTGAAGCCAAGTGGTTCAGCAGATGAAAGCTGAAGAAATGAACTGACTTCAGCACTGCAAATAGCTCCAAAAAAACCAGAGTTTAGCTCTAAAATTGACTCTTCCCAGATGTGGCACTAACATGCTGTGCCACCCTTCTTAAAAACAAGGCGTAAAGGAAATTTCTCGGGGTGCTGGAAAGTGGGGAGGTGTGATAATGTCTGCTAGAGGTGCTGTAGGATTCAGAGAAGCAGCTTTGAATCATAGTTGCCTTTTTCATCCGGCCTTTCATGTTGTGTTTCCCTTCTTTGGAGCACCCAGATTGTGGGGGTTGCAGGTGCCTGGTTTCTGCAGAGTTTGATTTTCCTTTTCCAGCCTGTCTTCCTTCAACTTAAATTAGGCAATTATGAATTTATCAGAAGGCCGCCTGTGATAGGGGCAGGGACAGTGTGATCTTGTCACACCACGAGCCCCTTAATGCTTGTGGCACCAACCTTGGGTGCCACAGCATCAAACACCTCTTGGAACAGAGGGAAAGGAAAGCTTCTCTCTCAGCTCAGCGTGAGGAGGGTGTGAAGTCACCCCTGAAGTCAGGGACCAATCGCACAAAGCAGCTGAAAACATCTCCAGGGAAGAACTGATTGTCCCAAGGAGATGATCACACAAAATGTTGGTTCTTTTGTCACAGTTATAAAGAAAATAGTGAAGTCAGCTGGCGATGCTCTGGTCCCTACAGCAACTCAATATCCACAGGGCTGCAAGGATTCCCCAGCCCCTCCTGGCAGGCTGTGCTGGGGATGCTCAGCCCAGCCACAGCTGATTCCCAAAAGGTTCTGTGCCCAGCATCACTCTGACAGTGCAGCCAAGAGCTCCAAGCCTGGAGTTCCCTGTGGAACCTGTTCCACAGAACCAGCAGCCCTTGCTCTGTGCTCTGGGAGTTCAGGACCTGACTCTGTTCAGGGAGTTCAGGTGGGGGGAGGCTGTTCTGCTCCTGAACTCCCTGAGAGCAAAACACAATCTGTGTTTTGCTGCCAAATTCTCTTCAGAGCGTAAAATTGCTGCTTGATTTTATTTGTTCCTCACACCCCTCAGCTTCTCATTTCCTCCTTCAGCCAAGCTTGTTTTCAGAGCAGCTGCAATGGTGTCATTACTCTTTTAAGTCAAAACCTTGGCTCTTTCAGCAATCTTGTTCCTCTGGCAACTCCTATAACTGCTTTATCCTGATGGAGAGGTGATTTAATGCTTGCTTCCATAATCAGTACAAATGAAAGCCTCATTATAAAGCAAAGCTGTGGCAAGTCTGTAATTACCTAGACTGTTATTTTAAAGATCTCCCCTGATATCCCACTATTTCTCACTTAAAAAGCCCCATGCCTCAAGTTAACTGTCCTCAAAGTGCTTCTCTTTTGGGAGAACACTGATTACAGGTAAATGATTCCTCTCTTGAAGGAGTATCAGTAAAGCCTTCCCGGTTTAATTTCTGGTAATGTGCATACACAGGCACACAAATTGCACAGGGGAAATTTAGCAAGAGAAAATATTGAGTCAAAGGATCATATTTTTGTTTTGGGCCAACATCTTCCAGCTCCTGCACAATATGTTCCATCCCTATGAACAGTAGTGGGGGAACCTCAGCACTTTGGTTTTTGCAATAAGATTTCAGAGACTGTAAAACTTCTAACCTGGCATTTTACCTGGGTAAAGTTGATGGAAATGTCCCTACAAGGTCAGAAATTCACTTTTTATCCTCACAACCATCTCTGCTCTGGCTGTCACTGGTTCTCCATCAACTCCAGATCCATTCGAGAGCAATCTTTTGTTTTAAGAAGTTAAAGTGACTGTTGGAAGAGGGAAAAGTTGTTTGTGTGTGACCTTGTGCCACTGATACCCTTTCTACAACTCTGTTTGTGCATTAAAAACCACACCCAAGGCAGGATTGAGGGGACAGGGGGCACGAGGGAGTTCCTTGGCCCCCAGCACTGCTCTGGGCGCTTTGGGACAGCTCTGCCTCCCCACATGGGCAGGCAGCACCACAGAGCTGTGCCATGTCCCCTGCTGCCATCCATGTCAGAGGAGCAGAGCACAGCAAACCCTCTCAAACGCAGATTGCTCTCCAAAGAACCAACAGGAGACACTCAGCAAACCAGGAGGGACAGAGCCTGCTTGGCACCTTGGATCGGGAGCCTTCTCTTTCCATTTACAGATTAAATATCCCAATTGCAGAGTACAATTCCAATTACAGAGTAGGAAAGTGCCAAGAATAAATGCTGTCTGTGGAGAAAGGTCCTCTTTTTCTGAAGTTCTTTCATCTGAGTTTTCCCCTATTTCATGTGTGTGTGAATTTGTAACAGAGGTAGGAAATGTTCTTCTGGCCACAGAATGAAAAAGGGAAGGGAAAAGGAAGGGAAAAGAGAAGAGAGGAGATGAGAGGAGAAGGGAGGAGAAGGGAGGAGAAAAGAGAAGAGAAGAGAAGAGAAGAGAAGAGAAGAGAAGAGAAGAGAAGAAAAGAGAAGAGAAGAGAAGAGAAGAGAAGAGAAGAGAAGAGAAGAGAAGAGAAGAGAAGAGAAGAGAAGAGAAGAGAAGGGAAGAGAAGAGAAGAGAAGAGAATCAATCTCTTACCGTCCTCTGGACGACCAGGACCATGATGGTGGCCAAGGCAAAGATGAACAATGTGCCCATGGTGGCGATGATGAAATACAAACAGACTTTGTTAGTGGCTCCAAGCCTCCTGGAAACAGCGTCTTCATTCATGGCTGATTCATGCGAGTCCTTCACCTGAGAAAGTGTTTGCTCTTGTGCCTGGCACATTCTTATATAGCCCTCCAGGCACTGCTCTGTGGCTCCCCTCGGTCGGGTTCAAGTTGCAGCCCATCTCTGCTCCTGGCAGGATTTTCCCCCTTCATCCTGGCTCATGTGATCTGGAAAAAACAACTTCATCACTTGCTGTGCAGAGAGAGAGGGCCCCGGGGGCGTGAGGCAGGAGGCAGCTGTGAGCAGGGGAAGCAGCTTCATGTTCTCGCTCAGGGATTTCTCTCGAGGTGCTGCTCTGCAGCCGAGGTTTCTGATGTCACAAGGTGAACAGATCCCCCGCCCAGCCACTGGCTCTGTGAGATGGGGAGACATGCAAATTCTCTTTCATTTTATACTCCGTGCAGCTGCAGTTGGGCTCAGGGAGTCACCCCGAGCTCTGCCTTCCTGTCGTGCCCTGAAACCTCCAGAGCTGCCTCCAGAGCTCTGCATCCACAGGTGACCTTCGGGCAGCCCCTCCGTGCCCTGGGGTGCCCCAAGCACAGCATCACCAGCCAGGGGAGGGAGGGAGGAGATGGACCTGCTCTGCCCTGCACTGTCTCCAGTGCTGGGAGCAGTTTGGGGCATCTCAGCAGGAAAAGGACATCGGGCTCTGAGGGTGTGTCCAGGGGAGGGCAACCAAAAAGGCACCAAGGGCAGGACTTGTGAGGAACATCTGGGTGACTTGGATGGTTGAGGAGGGGACCTCGTGGCACAGCTGCTGATCCCCTCTCTGGTGGCCAGGACAGCACAGGAGGAGGAAAGGCAGTGGAGCAGCATCAGGGGAAGCTGAGAGTGGATATTATGGAAAGGTTCTTCCCTGAGAGGGTGGCTGATCCCTGGAATAGGCTCTCCCAGCCCATTCCTAAAGGAACCTCTGGATGATCCTCTCTGTCTTAGGAGTTTGTGTTGGGCACTCCTGGGAGGAGCAGAAAGTCGGACTCAATCTTTATGGATCCCTTCCAGCTCAAAATATTCTATAATTCTATTACTACCCTTGTCTGTGGAGGTCTGGAGATATTTGGGTGAGATTTTCATTGAAGAATTTCACAGAAATGTGTCAGAAATACGTTTCTGATGCAGGGTGCTGGTTCTGGGCAGAAAGGAAGCAGTGACACCGAAGTAGCTGAATGCAGAGGTTGGGATGTGCCCACAGAGGGTGTCTGTAATCCCAGGTTTATCTGCAGTTAGGGAATTCCTGCTCATTTCCATCCTGTCCTGGCCTGGTGCTATCACCCTGCCTTTGCACAGAGCTCAAGTGAGATTTATCTGATAACATTCCAGTGTTAAAGGACCCTGCATGTTTCCTGTGGGATGACTCCTGGCTTTCTGGCCAGTCCAAGTCAAAAGACACCTGAGTTTTTCTGTTCCCAGCTGGATGTGTGTCTCCTTTTGAATCACATCCATTCAAGCCAGTTAATTCATTTAACAGGGAAAAAAATCCTGGGTTATTTGTCTCAGCTAATCCAAATTTGCTATTACAAGGACATCAGAGAAGGCAAAGAGGATTTTGTCAATGATCCATCCAGATCAGCACCAGTAGAGAGCAACAAGAAATTCTGTGGGAAGAATATCAGAACAGAAAAAACAGGGGTTTATTGAGTGCAATTCTCCAGTTTCCTCTGACTTGTGCTCGTGGCCTCCCAGATAAAAGGTAGAACTTTCCAATTTTAATCCAATTGTTCTTTACCCCCTGACACTGCAGAGTTGTGGCATTTTCCTATCATTACCACTATCTTTAAAAAAAATAAAATTGCTGGGGCACAGCATTACAAAGGCTTGTACAGGTTTGCAAAGCAGTGTTTCTCAGAGCATCCCTTATCACCATGGGAACAGGCACAACCTGCTCTAACCAGGGACAAAGGGATGAGAGAATGGTCTCACTTGGCCAGACCTGGCAGGTTGGATGAGGTGGATCCTCACCTGTTGGGTCCTTCTTGGTAGATGCAAAACTCCTGGACAGCCACGAGCAGCAGAGGAAATTAATCTTTGTTATAAAGGAAAGAAGATTTACAAATTCTTGTCTGTGAAAGTTCATTTGAGCCCTTAAGGCAGCGAGGGCAGAGCAGCAAATCCACTCTTTGGGAAGCTGCACAGGAGATCCCCTATCTAAGTAATTTCTTCCCAGCCCTCCTCAACAATGTGAGAGCTCTGAAATGCAGGAAAATCCAAATTCCCACAGTTTTGGAGTGAGCAAGGCAGTCCAGCAACCCCTGCTCATGACTGAGCAGACACACCCCTCGCTGGGGTGGATGATACTGCAGAGGATATTGGTGGTGTGGTTTGTAGGATGTCATGAGGAGGGCCCAGTTCTCAGCCAGCTCTTGGGCTTTTACGTAAAAGGGCAGGGAGGCAGAAAACAAGTGAACCACAAAACCAGCAGCTCTAATTATTTCTTGCTAGATATTGCAAGTGATTGCCTTTGTCAGGAGAAATACAAAACATCCCAGCCCATTTTTCGTACTTATTGTTCTACTCCTCGGCTGAAAGGAAATGAAGTTCCTGAGAGCTGAGAGCCCATCCATGGGGCTGCTGGAAATTCACCCTTGACTGAAGTTGTGAAAACTGAAACCTTTATCAAGGACAATAATGCCCAATTTTTGAGAGATGTGTGGGCACCCAGCTTCCACTGAAATCCAGGGGGTGAAGAGTGTAGGTACCTTTAGAGGTTTTTTGGTTTGTATGAAGTGTGTCCATTTCTTGTCAAAGCCATCAGGAATGTTTATATCTGTGGAGTTGATTCCCAGAACCTCAGCCAAGAGCTAAGAGACAGAACCACAATGTCTGTTTTATTACCCTGAGGGATTCCTGCCATCACTGAGGGTCACTGACAGCAGGGATGCTGCTGGGCTTCTTATGGAATCAGGGAATCACAGAGGGGTTTGGGGTGGAACAGACCTTAGAGATCATCCCATCTCCATGTGCAGGGACACCTTGCACTATCCCAGGTTGCTCAGAGCTCCATCCAGCCTGGAATATGATTTCCAAGATCCCCCATCGTCAGTGAGAGCCCCCCGTGGCTGCAGCTGACTGCACACACATGAACATGTGAGCACATGTGGAGGGCATTTGATGTGGAGATGCAAAATCAGTAAATTGAGGTGTCTGCAAAACACCCTGAGCGCTGAGAGGATGAATCACCTCGTCTTTGTGTTTCCTCTGATGAATCACTGCGGGGTCGTGTTCGTACTCCACATCTCAGCCCTGGGCTGAGGCTGGAAAAGTTGTTTGGGTATATATTTTTTTTTTTTAAGTGAATTTATTAGAATCTCTGTCCATTCCCGTGGTCCTGAGCAAAGCTGATCCCTGGCTGAAGGAAATGATGCTCCAGTATCTCATTCCCAGCACTGCTGTGAGGATACCTTTGGCTGTCAGCACAAAACACTCCTCTGAGGGAGATGCTGCCTATCTCCCATCTCTCATCCCAGCCTCTTGGAGGGTTTCCAAGAATAGCAATGTTCTTTACTCATTTTGTTTCTCAGATAAGATCACTGGATAAAAACAGACATCAGGCAGGAGGAAAAGGAGGGGAAAAGGGAAAGGTTAAAGCTGCCACTGAGCAGTATTATCTCCTTGGGATGCTGCAGAGGGTTTATTCGTGCTGTGCTGCTGCCTCCCTTGCTCAAAAGAATTATATCACTCAGTCTTGTGAGAATATGGAAAATCAGGTGTATTAAATTAGCTGAAAATTGGTTATGGGGAAAAAGAAACACCTCTTGATACTGCAGTGGATGTGCATCATCCACCTCCTTTGGAGCTCAGGTAGAAAGCAGAGGTGTTAGGAGAGGTAATAAAATGCAATAATAAAACAATACAAATGGAACAGTTATGAAAGTGCAGTAACTTCCACAAATTTGTCAGAGTTTGCTCAGTGGGAATTATTGTCTGCCCAAACACCCTGGAGTCTTTCCCATGTGGCATCCCCCAAACTGGGGGAGCTGGAAAACCTGTGGTGCCTTTCAGCAGCACCTGAGAGAGTCAATCCAAGTGGAAAACTCATTTCTGGGTATTAAACCCCTCTGTGTTCTGCTTAATGACCAGAAGAAAATAATGCATGAATTGCAAAGCTGGAAGAAATGGAATAATTAATATAGTTTAAATAAAAAAAAACAAAACAAAATGCAGAGTTACTCAGAATGAGATTCTCAGGCACATCTAGAGATTTCAAATCACTGAAATTCCAGTTATTCTGTTATGGAACAGCAGCAGAACATTCATTTCTCATAAGGATCTCATAATTTCTTGAAAACCAGGCTCTTTCTGTGTGATTTCAGCAGCATAATAAAAAAATGGAGCAATAGAGAAGTATATTCAGAGTCTTGTTCTTACTCTGGGATCTAATTAATTAAAAAAGGAAAAAAAAAAGGAAAAAAGAAGAGTATTGTATCAATTTCAAGTTCATTAAAAGAGAGAGAAAGGACATTTATACTTGCTGGTGTGAGTGTGGCTCTGGGTCCACCTGAAAATCTTGACCTGAGCAAATCCATGAGGTGGATTTGGGTGAGGAGGAGGAAGTGCCAATGCCTGGATTTGGGCAGCAGGAGGAAACAACCACCAAAGCCCAGGGATGTGAAGGGAAAAGCTTCATTTTTGGTTGTGCTGGGTCCTGGGGGAGCCCTGCAGAGACCACTGCATGTGTGAGGGGCAGGGCACTGCCCAGGGGCACACACACCCAAAACTGGCACTGAGAGCAGCACCAACCAAAAGCATCACTGGAAAGGATCTTCCCCACTAAATCTGCAGAATAACAGAATTTAAGCCAGAAAGGGTTTTTTTTAGGTGATGCAACTTGACAGGCTATTCAGGAAAGGGCACAGAGTTTTATCCCAAACCCTGGGAAATGAGGATGCTGCTGAGCCAGGCAAGGAAGGATCAGGTGGGGGCTGAGGTGGGGCAGGATCCTGCACCTGCACGTGGCCCTGACACCCACCTGAGGGACAGTGGGAGCCTTGTGGGCAGCCAGGGGTGGGGATGAGCAGGGTTTTGGAAGTGATGACGCTGGGAAGGGCGGCTTTGGTGTCTTTGAGACACAGATCTGAGGGTCTGGGTTAGGACAGGCAGGGCTCTGGAATGGTTCAGCTGCAATAATCAGTGTTTAACCCAGTGTGAGTATGAAATATTAATCATTGGCCACGGAAAGAGGAGAAACTATAAACTAAAGATTGGTCAGTCTGATTTAGGGAAGAGGCTGATATTTGTGCTCCCTGTGCATGAGTGCTGAAAGCTTTTGATAGAGGAGAGATGAGAGATC